CCCTCGAAGTGACAGTCCCCCTCCCCCAATCTGCCGCCCCACTTCTCCCCCAATATCATACATATCTATTACAATTACCTTGACTCCACTCCCACACTATACTCCACATCCTGTGACTATACATATACATTCACTTATAGTTGACATACAATATTATACAATATCAGCTTCAGGTGTACAGTGCTGTGATCAAGCCTCTACCCCATCCAGGATGTGGTCTGCCTAGCAAGACATGTGACCATCTGACACCCTACAAAATATTTACAACATTATTAATTATATTTCTCAAACTGTCTTTCATATCCCTGTGACAATACTGCAGTTAACCATTTATGCTGTGTAATCCCGTCCCCTTCTCCCTCATCCCCACTCCCATCCCAACTAGCAACCATCAGTTTTTCCTCTATATCTCTGAGACCATTTCTGTTTACTTTGCTCGTTCATTCAGTTTTTTAGATTCCACATGTAAGTGAAATCATATGGTATTTGCCTTTCTCCGACTGACTTACTTCACTTAACATAATAGTCTTTAAGTCCATCTATACCGTCCCAAATGGTACAATTTCCTTCTTCTTTATAGCAGAGTAATACTCCATTGTATAAATGTACCACAGTTTCTTAATCCAGTCATCTACTGATGGGCATTTCAGTTGTTTCCAAGTCTTGGCTATTGGGAATAGTCCTGCAATAAACATGGGTGCACATGTTTTTTCAAATTAGCATCTTGGATTTCTCTGGATAGATACCCAAGAGTGGAATTGCTGGGTCATGGTAGTTCCATTTCCAGTTTTTTGAGATGCCTCCATACTGATTTCCATAATGGCTGCACCAATCTGCAGTCGCACCAACAGTGCACCAGGGTTCCCTTTTCTCAACAGCCTCGCCACCACTTGTTGTTTGTTGATTTATTGATGATAGCCATTCTGACTGGACTGAAGTGGTATCTCATTGTGATTTTTATTTGCATTTCTCTAATGATTAGTGAGGTTGCACATTTTTTCATATGCCTGTTGGCCATCTGTATGTCCTCTTTAGAGAAATGCCTCTTCATATCCTCTGCCCATTTTGTAATTGGGGTTTGTTTGTTTTTTGTTGGGTTTTTTTTTTTTTTTGGTGTTGAGTTGAATGAGTGTTTTATAAATTTTGGATATTAACCCCTTATCAGATGAAACATTGGCAAATATCTTCTCCCATTCAGTAGGCTTCCTTTTTGTTTTATTGATGACTTCCTTTGCTGTGAAAAAACTTTCAAGTTTGATGTAATCCCATACGTTAATTTGTTCTTTTATTTCCCTTGCCCGAGGGGATATCTCAGTAAAAATATTACTGAGGGTAATGTCGGCAAATTTACTCCCTATTTTTTCATCTAGGAGTTTCATGGTTTCAGGTCTTACATTTAAGTCTTTAATCCATTTTGAATTTGTTCTCGTATATGATGTAAGTAGGTGGTCCATTTTCATTTCTTTGCACACGTCAGTCCAGTTTTCCCAGCACCATTTATTAAATAGACTATCTTTACTTCAATGTATTCTTGCTTCCATTGTCATAGATTAAATGACCGTATATGGATGGGTCTATTTCCGGGCTCTCTATTCTGTTCCATCGGTCTGTGTGTCTATTTTTATGCCAGTACCATACCGTTTTGATTACTGTAGACTTGTAACATGATTTGATATCAGGTAGCGTGATACCTCCCACTTTGTTCTTATTTCTCAAGATTGTTGTGGCTATTCAGAGTCTTTTATGGCTCCACATAAATATTCGGATTATATGTTCTATTTCTAAGAAAAATGTTCTTGGTTGTTTGATAGGAATTGCATTGAATCTATATATTACCTTAGGTAGTATTGACATTTTAACTATATTAATTCTTCCTATCCATGAACATAATATGTATTTCTTTTTTTTTAATTGGGGAATTGGGGGAAGGGGAACAGACAAGATGCTGTCGTTTTTTTGTTGTTGTTGTTCTTCAGTCTAGTTGTGGAGGACATTGCTTCACTGTCCCAAGTAGGTACCATCATTGAGCTCTTCCCAGGTGAGGCAGATCAGTCGCCGGCTTCTGGACAGCCACTCACTGCAGCTGCTGGCTGCTCACGCTGGCTG